ACATACACATACATGCACACACATACAGCCTCCATGGTGAGGGTGGATGGGAGAACTGGTTCTTTCATCATGGGCCAAGAGGCACAGGGAGGTGAGACGACGTCAGTGGAGCTGCAACAGTCCCAGAGAACTAACTTTGCATCACAGAGATGTGAGAGATCTGCCGCCCAGAAAGACACAAAAGCATAACAGAGACGATTATTCAGCGCTGCCATCTTCTGAGTAGTACAGAACCACAGGCTTAAAAATATAGATAAAATCCCCTCAAGGTAGGATGTCAGGCTGCTGCCCCGTCTGCCTCATTTGACCTTCCAAAAAACATTTGATTTGTTGAGAGAAGGCACTGCACAATGTCACATAAGACTAAGGCTGCAAATAACAGTTATTTTAACTGCGGATTATGCTTTTGATTCATGGATTCAAACTTCTACTGTCTATAAAGTGTCAGAAAACTGTAAACATATTAAATGTACATTTGTATAAAACAGAAATAAGAAGGAAATCTTCTAAATTGTTGCCATTTTGCTGGTTTGTCTCTGCTGGTAATTGATTATTTAAATGATTTGAAATAAATTTTCTTTAGAACTACTTTTTGTTGTTTTTTACTCTTACAAAGTTTTTTCATTTTTTGTGTTTTCATATTGTGTATTCATTTTTGTGATTTATTTTGTGACATTCTGTAAATCACCATGATGAAGGCCCTGTGCTATTGGTGAAATAAAAATGTATCAGCTAGTGTTGCCGAGTTGTCCAGTAAACTGACCTCCTGAATGGCTCTTCCCAGCCTCTCTTGGCTTTTCACCACTTTCCTGAAAGAGACACGCATCCATTATTATTTCAGACCATGGTACATGAAGCTGCTACTATTAGCTGCACTATCACATTCTGATTAAGAAAAAGAAACAGAGCCTACCTGTGTATTCTGCGAGCCAGGCTGAGGGTGAAGTTTGCAGAGCAGTCAGGCTGATAAGTGGACGGCACTATGGTGTAAGCTCCAGGAGAAAGACAGCAGGCCAGACTGACATCCTGGGTGTAGCAGTGAGGGACACAACTGGCCACAGGATCCTCGTCCCTGGGTAATGTCTGCACAGATTCCCCCTCTGGGAACTGGATACACAGTGAAGATTGAATGCTCAGATACTGTAGAATTGCATTCATTAGCCATTTTATCATAATATATAGTTTATTAAGAATTTAGTTTGTGCCAACTGTCCATGTTGAGCCTTTTGTTTAGAGCGGTGGTGGTGCTTCCATGGTCAGCTTAATTTAAAATATCTGTACTCATGTAAGAACTGGCAGTTTTGGAGATTCATTATAAATTGCTAATCACATTTTATAAACATTTGATTGTATTATGTGTGCATATTCCTATAAGGTTAAGGTTCGTTTTAAAACTGACAAAATGAGTAAACATTTCAAAGATCTATGACATACTATACAGATTAAACTGCAAATTACTGAGGTAAATGGCCCATAAATCTAGATAACACTGGTGTTCTCCCTTCATGTTTGACTGACCTTATAAATGTGGAAGCCAATTGGGTGCAGATCAGTGTCAGGGCGGCTCTGGTGCAGGGTAATCCTGACATTAACTCCTGATGTCACTGCTGACTCATCACACACTGTAAAAGGGAAGCAGGGGTTCTGCCAGTGAGACAGGAAGTTCCTGCTTCCTCCTGCCGTCCTTCCCTCCACCCACGAGCCCCGGAAGTAACTGGTCTCCCACTCTCCATCAGTTGTTAATGGCAGTGAAGGTGCTGGGCTTTTCAGGGCACTGAGGAGGAAGCATGACAGCACATTTTATGATCACAGCACTTTACATGGTGAAACATGGAAGTAGGAAAATCCATCTTTTGTAAACAATATGTGGAATACCAGCTGGAAGAGTGCTTGCTGCGGTGTAAAATGATAAAAGTTTAAATCATTAGTTGGTTCTTTTAAAAAGTGATTTTCAAATTGACCAGCAGATGTCACCATTTATTTACTGTCATTCATTTTTATGGGAAGTCATGGCACTAAGGTCTGTGTGCAGAAACAGAAATGAATCAGTGTAATAAGTACTGTGTACAAATATATATAACATTAAACAATATTGATTACCTTTTGAACATATGATTAAGACAACACGACTTTGTTTAATGGGCAAAATAACTAATGCAGTTTTGCTTTGATTCTGGAAGGAGACTGTTATTCTGACACCACTTAAAATGTGTTTAACAATATGTTCTGCTCATTTGTGCATCTGTTTTTATTGATGTGAGAGGAGGATTTCTTTTGTTTCTGTTAAAGTACCTGACCTTTTTAAAGTTCAAATTTTATTATAAAAAATTAAGCTGTTTCCGGCAACATTTTTACATAGATTTTCCTCCCATTAACTGGTCCTTACCTGAGGGATGTGGAAGAGGAAGAAAAGACCCTGATGAGGAAGTGGGCCTCAGCTCCTGGCTGGTAGGTGCTGGGGATCAGTAGGTAGTATCCGGGCTCCAGCTGTCCATGGAGGACCACCTCTCTCTCGTAGGCGTGGCAGTGAGTAGAAGCACAAGGAGGTTTGTTCAACATCCGGCAGAGATTAAAACGCTTCTTCTCCACCTAGCAACAGAAAAACATGAGTACCATGATGCAAACACACAAACACAAAAAATGTGTTCCTATAAGTGATGCCACAAACCTTCCACATGTGTAGAGCGATAGCCTGGTAGTGCTGGTGCTTTGTGTTCTTGCTATCCTCAAGTGGCATTTGTGCGTATTTCTCTGTGTTCCTCCATTTTCTATGCTGTAGCAGGGATACCAGCACCTCTCCTCTCTCACACACTTTGAGCCAAAACTTAGGGTTGCTGCCGTAGATGCTGCTGTTTCGGCTCCCACCCGCAGAGTGCCCTTTCATCCAGCGGCCAGCCAGCTGCTGGTTGTGTGTCAGCAGATTTCCTGTCGGAGAGGAGAGTTGTGAGGATTAAAAAGAGAGCCATTGAGGTCACAGTCACTCTAGGTTTCAAATGTTCTTTAGCAAAATGAGAGAATTACCAGTGTAGATGCTCTTTAGGTGCCCCTCTTCACTGATGGGGTAGCCCACTGTGACATCATCAAACTGGGACAGGAATTCAGTCTCATCCAACCAGAACTCGCCCTCGGCCACCCTGGCTTGCAGGTCCAAAGCAGAAACAGGGTCGACGCAGCTCCAACCGGTACCACTGCGGATAGGTAGAGGTAGACCTTGTGAATGAGACTGGGAATTCCACTGGACGGACTTCCCCACACTTGCGGATTCAAGGACTTATGATGATGGCTGTCCAAATACACGCTACATCAAATCTGCAAGGGGCTTTTGTGCACGTTCTCTGGACTTTCTACAGACTTCCAGAGAGCAAACTTCGGTGCAGACTGCAGTCTTGATGTATACATTTATTTAATTATTTTACTATGTAATATTTGGTCATAAACATGACTGAGGTCTGAAGACCAGTCTCACAGCACATTTTATCCCGCTGTCGCACAGCACCTTTTCAGGCTTGATGCGATTAGGGTTAGCATTTCAGTCCACAAGCCCAGAGGCGGGACATTTAGATTCAGCAAAACTCCTTTTGAGTTTCCACACACTCGTGGGTATGACACACATGCCTACCTTCCTATCCAGGCCCCTCCCCAGCAGCATCTTCCCCAGGGGTTTCTGATCCTGAGCAGCAGTACTTTGCTCCCTGACACCGTCTTCACATCCAACCACTCCATGACAGTCAGTGCATGGTACTGACCCAGCTCACTGGCACCTAGAACAGTCACCGAAATCATCAGGTGATGTGCTACAGGATCAAAACCACTTGTATCTGCACTAAATCTCTGTTTTCTGACCTCCAGGGCTGCTGTGAGTGGAGCAGCTGATGGCACACTGGTCTTTCACTCGGTACAGAAGGTTCAGGTCCAGCCTTCTCCTCCTCACCTGGTCACTGTCCTGTTCCGGTCTCTGCTCCTCCTCAGTCTGAAAGTCTCCCAAGCTCCAGCGCTCCGCCAAGCCCCCGGTCAAATCCACCAGGGCCTCGGACACCTGGCCGGCCCACAGTTGCTCATATGAGCCGTGAAGCCTAAAGAGAATGAAAGGGACAGGACAAGGGGATTTCCAGACTTCACTAAAAATGTTGTTTGAAATGCAGTACTAGGTTACTAAAACTTTCCAAAAGTAGGTCAAACTAAGAGATGAATCAAGGAAGTTGCACAAGTTTCTTACTTGGCATATGCCTTCTCCAACAGGGCTACCCAAAAGACAGCGGGGGAGTGGCAGCGTGAGAAGCACAGAGTGGAATTTAAACAGGGCAGGCGATCGTCGATGGTCACCTCTGTCCAGTGTCCCTGCTGCCACAAACAAAACTGAAAGGAGCCCCTGTACCTGCTGTCACCCCACTGAGGCTGGTCTGGAGGCAACACCTACAGAGAGTAACGGACAGCAGTGTATACATACATGCAGTAAATAACATGCTTATGACATGCTAATTCACAAATTAGTCCACCTGCTTGTTGCTCTACCTTGTTCAGTAGATGTTTGTTCTTGAGCAAGAAAGTGCAGGCACAGAGAAACCAGCAATCTCCTAATAAACCTTGTTTTGCATGACCCAGGCTGATGTTGTCAGGGAAGAGAGCTGGCGACTGGCAGATCTCCTGCAGTTGTGAAACAGACAGAAATTAACATTGAGATGCGCTGATTTCAAGACAACTTGCAATAACCCAGTTTTAGGAGGTTAAAAATGAGGTGCAGAAATTCCTCTAACTCTAAAGGGTAAAATTGAAAGTAAAATGTTGATAAGAACCAGAAGTTGATAACATGGAGGCCACCTTTCACGGCATTGTTTTGTCACACTATTATTATGTCAAGTTCAGACACATACACATTACTCATAGACATCTTTTATTACATATATTTGCTTTTTGTGAAAAACTAGACAACTTGTAGGAACTCTTTCATAATCAAATCAACCACCTGATAAGGAAAAATTCCTGATTGGCTGAACAGATCAACCTGTGACCGGTGATGCAAGTTAATGAATGGCAAGCTCAAAATTCCCATGATGTTAGCTTTTAACCCATGACAACACCTAAGGAATGAACAGCGTTATTTCCCATTTACCCCTTGGCACTGGGCCTAACCTGTGGGCGCCCCCAGCTGATGTCTCCCTGCAGCCTGGCGATGGGCGTGGAGCTGTCACAGAACAGGGACGTGTCCTCAGCGGGAAAGTCCAGGTCCTCAAACAGAGCCTCACCTCCACACGCTGCCCTGCCCTCTTCTTTCATGGCTCCTGCCTCTGTTCAACCTGTATCGTACCTGCTGGGTCAGTGGGTGAATCTCAGCCGGCTGTGACCATCCTCACTGCCTCCGAGTACCTTTCACACTTGTACTGCACCTGAAAACACAAGAAATAGTGACATTATGTTCATGAGATTTGTGTTTATTTGTGGTTTTGTGCAGAAATCATAGACACCTGCAAAAAGCTGTTTAACCCTGTCTGTGACTATATAGTTAGTGGTTAGGTAAAACAAAATGTGTCAGGTGTGTATTATTTATAATAGAATCAAAGAATATAAGTTCATCTCATATGTTAATGTTACAATATACTGACATAGTGTTGCACTATTGTAGCCACTTATTAACACAACCGTAATAACAGGGGGATATGAAGAAAAGCTGTATTAATATGTCTCCAAATGAAAATGTAATGTTACAGACAGAATGGGTAATTGTGTGTCTTTCTTCTATGTTTCTGCATCTTACCTTTTTTCCTCTTTTAAGCATCTTTCCCCTCGTAGCTTCATAATAACACCACGGCTAACCGTTAGCTTCAACTAGCCTGTAATGAATTGAAATGGCATCTCCATATCGCTTCATCTTGTCATGGTTTCAGACCCGTCGCCAGGGGGTTTTATACTTTATGACAGATTTCGTTATGACTGACAGTTATATATATGTTTATAAAACCCGCACATATCATCCTGCTGAGTGTGAAAAACGTAAAGTCTCTTCCGCTTGGACATCCAGCAGCAGCTCATTCACAAAGTGAATCCTTCCTGTGCTGTTGAACACTTCCGCCACCTACCGTTGGTGCCCTGAACTACACACAGTGCGTTCTCTTAGGTTTTAATATGTAACAGTCCTACAATAACCTTAATGATGGTTATAATGTTCAGTTTTTTTAAATGCAGTTTTAGAGAGTCACTGATTCAACTTTATAGGCATTTTATACAATGTAGTTTGTATGGCAATAAACTAAATTATATTCCAATATTTTATCCTCCTAAATGTTTTTAAAATCAGTGAGTTTAGACTAAACATAAGAAATATGCCCTGGAAGGCCTTTTTAGTTCCCCTACTATTATTCCTTATTCTTTTTCCTGTTTTTTTTATTCTTAAACTGATTGAAAAGCATGAAAATCTTACTTTACTACTTTTACTTCAGATCCTTAAGATCCTAAACAGATACATTATAAAACCATCAGACCCAGGTATAGATAAACACAGAAACAGCTAATTGTATATATAAATCTATTTATTGGCATTAAAGAAATATATATATATATATAATATTTAAACATACATTTAAAGTGATACAAAAATATTCTATTTATTGGCCGTAAAGAAAATACATTCAATTCATCTTGTGCGTCTTTGTGTCTTGAAGCTGATTTCCTCAGATGATCTCCACGTTGTTTAGTGTCTTCTATTTAGAAAGACAAAAAGGAAAACATTTTAAATCACATATGATTGTTGCAGGATGACTCAGTACTGATGGCTGTTGTCTCTTTTAGCACAGAGTGTTTCAATAGAGACATTAACTTACTGTGTTATAGACTCCATGGCATCTTTCACCCACTTTTTGTCAGGATCGGCACAGAGAAGTTTGTTTTTCGAAGTCCTGAAACTGTATTAAGATGAGGGAAGAGGGTAAGACAGAGTTGACATTTCTGTTTGTTATAGTATAGTGTGTGTGTTTTTTTCAGATGCACTGGTTTTATTTTCTTACATTACTGCTTTGATGTTGCAAAAACCTGTGACCTTCTGGATTTTAAAGTTTTTCAGCACTTTCACTGGGACTGGATGTTCATTGTACTGTGTGCAGCAAAACTTCACAGGACCTTTAAAGAAGAGACATTACAAACATGTCAACAACAAAAAAGAATAACATAAGTAACAATGTACTTGAATGTGAAATCAGTACCCTCTAGACAATTACAGGCAACAACTCGTGTTATCTTGAATCGATAGTGAAATGTAGAATCCTGTAACTTATCCAATAGTTGTGGAAATGTACTTACTGCTTTCACCCAGTGCCACCAGGAGCACCAGTATGATGGAAACACACACAGCCAGCTTTGCCATCAGCTTCTCTTCAGCAGGGAATCAACTTTCTGATCTGGAGTCTCAAAAGGGATGAATTGATAACGTTTACTCCTGGCAGTGAAGTTTAAATACTCTGTCAAAGGTAATGTCCCACACGAACCAGGAACTACTGGAAACACCAATTCAGGTCACATGGGAAATGTCACCACGTACTTTTACCCACTGTGCTACAAAACCCCCTTTCTGCGGGTCGTCACACGGGAATGAAGAAACAAATGTGTGCCACATATCTTTAAAAAAAGATCCTGGCATGACGTTATGCTGACGAAGAAATACTATAAAACATTAATGAATGTAAACACTAATAGGCAGAATCAGCACCTTTACAATGATATGTGTATTATTAATTCAACTGTATACAATAAGCAGCGGTGGAATGTAACTAAGTGCATTCACCTAAGTACTACACATAATTTGAGGTTATTTACAATTCATTTGAATTGCTTCAATGTTATGCTACCACTGTGCTTTATGATTCAACTCCACTACATGTATTTGAGAGCTGTAGTTGCTAGATACTTTGCATATTCAAATTTAACTCACAAAACGTGATCAGCTTATAAAATATGACACATTTTCATAAATGTGCACATAAAGTGGTTACATTTTGCCACTCCTACAACTATAACATTAAAATGCTGATTTCACATAAACGTATCAATAATAATAATATAATTTACAATAATATAACACTGACAGGTGTTTTGCTTCATAATAAGTCCTATAATGATGAATGAACTATATTATACTGATAATAGTTGTTGAATACTTATACTTACTATAATTTGAACGCAGTACTTTTGTACTTAAGTCCTTAATATCTGAATATATACATACAGCACTGTTATTGATAGGGTTGTCTCATTAAGATCGGTATCAGTTTTTCAATAGAGACCCGAGAACAAGAATTATGCATCGTACGCAACAATTTATTTAGTTTGACGTTGACCCCAGACCACACTGTAACATCCTGCTGACTTTGTTGCTGCATACAGACAACAGTATGAGGCAATATAGAAAATACTTTTTGTCAGTAATTATGACTGCATATTGTATTTATTGTCCTTATTATCATCTATATTGAGTTTATAATTTGTCAGTTGGCACCCCTTGTTTACAGTCCACCTTATTATCATTATGTATTATTTTTCATCAAAATATTATTAAGGGCATCATTCAATACAATCTATGAAACAAAGTCCTTGTTTCAGTTGAAAACATTCACAGAAGACATCTTGACACAGCAGGAAGGTATAAAACTAAACTTGGTGATAGCTCAATTCCATTTAGCTTTCCTAAAGCAAAGGCAAACCTTTCCTACTATGACAAGTCCAAATGTCTGCTGTGAAACAGGTCAATTACAGGTCTGACTCTACTGTACAGTCAAACCTTAATGACTGCTTATTGTAAGCAAAGGGGTCCTAGAGGAACTCTATACATTTTCAGTAGTTGCTATCAAACTGTCTATGTTGTTTCAGATGATCAATTTGTGTATTTCTCCCCGCTCTGGGTTTTGAGTGGGCTGCGGAAATGGTCTATTGAAAGATCTGCCTAAACCCCTTCTTTCAGTGTGTAGGTGTCCATTTGATGCTTTTTTCTCACAGAAACCTGGTTTCCTTTCATTAAAGGATAGCTTCACATTTTATACAGTCTTATTTAAAGCATTACTCCCATGCCCATATGTACATTGAAAAGACTGCAACTCATAGTAACTTTAGCTAAACTGGTGGGTGAGCCCACCAGTTTACATCTAGTCTGAACAGGAAGGATGATTTACGGTGACCAATACCTCTTTTGGTATTGGTGTACCTTTGCTGGACATGCAAGTACTGAGATTTGTCTCACTGTTAAGGTACAACAGAGGAATAAAAGTTACAATATTATATAAGTTGAGTTACAAACTTGTAACTTAATATTGAATAATTCACATTGCAGGAAATGGAATAGTTATGTGCTTTAAACGCAATGTGGTTTTGGTGGAAAGTTCATGATGAACAATTAGACTGACATTAACTGAATCATGACCTATTTTAGTGGTCTCTGTGTACTTTTTTCCTGTGATGCTAGTTCTTGAGTACATAACAAGTGTTCCTCTGACCCAGAAAAGAACCTCCGTATAACCTCAAAGTAACCTACTTGTTGCAGCTCACGAGTCAGTGAACACTGAGTTCTTTAGTGAAACTTCATTCTTTGTGAAGTCTTTCTCTGAAACTTATTTTAAACGGTTTACTTTAATGCAATGTATTGTGCCATTAACCATAGCATGTGCATGGTGAGAGTTATTAACAAAGGAACCACACCTTCGTAACTTCCCATGTTGCACTGGCTTTACGGGACTAACACATGTGACCCAACACCCATATTTGTCTACTGAATTAATTAATTAGATGTTTGACTTTTTTTTTTTGGTCAACATGCCAAGTGATACACTTGTTATATTCTGTTTTATTGTATTTTGTTCATGTGCTGAAGCATGATACAAGGATCATGGTTATTTATTTAATGATAAAGGATAAGGATTCAGTGACATAATCTAATTTATATTGACAAAAAATTCCTTGAAATGACAACACTGAATGATTATCCTGGTTATTTTTATTTTCTTCCACTACAACTTGATCTTTAACTACATTTCTACGTAGTTGGAGTTTTTCAAATTGATATGATCTTATTATGTTATAATAAACAAGTGCACATGCAAATTTTTATTTTAATTTTAACTTTAAAGGTGAACTCTGCCCTTCTCCTTTTTCTCTGATTGGGGAAAGGGAGGGGGATTTTCTGTTATAGTATATAGTATAGTATATGTCAATACTTATTGTGTGGGCAGATTTTTGTCTCTTCCGAGTGGAAATTTCCTGTTTGAGGAATATAAAAGGCTGCTGTGATCACAAGCTTGTCACCACAGCCTCTTTAGCTCCACCTGAGGACAGACGAGACAACAGCTCAGCTCAGAGTCACTGCACAACACAGAAGGAGACATGGTGTCAATCAAAGCTACAGCGATGGGGATCACACTCCTCACCTTTTGTCTGCTGATCACAGACACATCAGCAGGTATGTAATGTCCATCTCTTTCTTTTTAATTCATTTTTTTTTTTGGTTTGTTGATTTAGTTTCATGAATCCATACGAATATGGTCATAGCCAGATGCATTTCTCTCACTTTACTTTTATTTAAATTTTATAATCAAATGTTTCTCTTGTTTCACAGTCCGTACCGGATGTTGTCGAAGTTACACGAAAGGCAAAATACCATTTTCTGCAATCAAGGGGTACTCAGTTCAGACTCACACAGGGTTCTGTGACATCAATGCCATCATGTGAGTATCAGTAGCACGATGTTAATATTGTTCTAGCAGAGAATAAATAACACATAAGTTAAGTGAATAATGTTTTTTATTTCTTTTCTTTTTATAGTTTCCACACAAGGAAGGGTCAAGCATGCACCAATCCTGGTTTGGACTGGGTGATGACCTATGTCAACCGCTTAAGGTAAGATTTATAGCAAAGAAATTGTGCAACATACCAAACAAACAGTATAATTATGCAGGCTGTAAAATGTATTCTTACAAGAGTGTGGCTAAAATTATAACGTGATCAATTTTCATTGCAGGCAAAAAGCACAAAAGGTTCACCTGGAGACCTCGCAAGCGCAGAAATAGAGTTATTCTGCTTTTTGAAGAGAGAGGGTGGAGAAAACCTGCAGCAAAAAAGAATAATTATGTTTTTTTATGTTTTATATGTCTCTTTGCCTGTTATTCAGTAAGCAGTGATGTTTCACAGAGAAATGTATAATATTATTTCTATTTTTTTTATATTGTTTGTTTATATAAGATCTTATATTTGTATATATTGTAATCTTGTAATATAGAAGGATTAAAGTTTTGTTATGAAAAGAATCGGTTGTCTAATGAATGCTTTTGTGGCCTCACATTAAATGGGAATTTTAATATGAGTTGAGTCTCATAATAAAAACATTCCTCCATTGAAACAGAACTGTGAATTCTACACGTGTGAATGACCTCGACAGCATTCCACTACGTTATCTTAACTTCCTTGTTTACACTCTCACTGGGGAAACTTCCAGCTCTGGAAGTTTTGTGTCCCGTGGTTCAAATCTGGCAAATAGTTAATCACAGAGTGGTGAAAGTCCTGTGAGATCATCAAGAGGAAGTTATGGGAGAACTGTATATTTGAAGCAAGTAGTAGAACAGGTTTTTCAATACTGACACTAAGCTGACATCAGCTGTACTGAAGTGTAATGCTTTTTGTTTTAGAGGTCAAGGTGTGTCAGTATGTATGTATTCTATAACAGAGGAAGTATCTGCTCCTAAAAAACAATTTCAAGTGTTTTTAAAAATATCGATCTCCTAAATTTCCACTTAATTTTAAAGTAAAATATATTCCCCATGCGTTGTTGAAGCTACCACATATGATACTCACAATGATTTAAATATTCAAATCCAAGGTGTCATATTTTTGTTTGCACCATTACATCAAATGGATTTAAAAAAAGAAAGATGTTTTGCATTATTCAAACACATTAACCTATAGCCTATCATGACATATTTGTTTGTTTTTTTGGAAAATCTTGGATTTTTTTTTTAAGAAATTAAAGTAATGACGCACAAAGACAACCAATGAAAAGACTCAATGTTGTCTTATTGAAAGCTTGGAGTTAGACTATTAAACATGGCCACGTGTGACAATAATGAAATAATGGTAAATGATTAAACAATAATAATAGCAGAGTACAAAATAAGCACACGTAGAAGCCAACGTAAACTAACAGGTATACCAGAATAAACAAGTCTATAGCATCAAAACCACAGAGTGAACTACACTGAATGAGTGGTGGTATGTTTTTAGTTGCAAAATATAGAATGTATTATTTGTTATTTTAAAAGTTAGGCTACATTGCTCAACACTCGCTTTAAAGAGGAAAGGACTTTGAAATGTATGTTCTGGAGATAAAGCTGTTAGTACAGGGGAACCACCTGAACATTTGATTTTAAAAAACAATGAATTGTTTTCAACTTTATACAATTTGAAACTGAGCAACTTCCTCTCATCTCTCTGTGTGTAACTGTATAAAAGAGCAGTGCAGCTTGAGATTACATGAAAGGGCAGCTTTCTACTTGCAGATGACACAGGAAGCAGTAACATTAAGCACCACCAAAAAACAATCAATAGTCCTCCTATTAATCCTTTTGAAACTAAGCTGTATGTCAGGGTGCTACTAAGGTGAAGTTATGCAGCTTGTCAATATAAATTCAGCTTCTTAAATAATAAAAATTTAATAATGATAACAATGTGCTCCTTTGTAGCCTTGGTGAAAACTTTCATGATTACTAAAATTAAAAATTAAAAAATAAATAAATAAATTGCAGGCAGGATGTAATAATAAATTCCTATTATATATTCTGATAAAGTCGGTGGTTTCAGAACTAATTCAGGACCAATAAGCAAATAAGAATAATACACCGAAAGAGTATTTAGGGAATTTAGGGTGTATTAATGATTAAATCCTATTTCTATCCACCTTCAAACATATTCATATTTCTCTTTGATAATATGATTAATGGATTCTGTTACTGAATAGCTCCATCTTAATAAACTGGTAGTTCTTAAAACACTTTAAATATTCAAAACCAAATATTCAAAAGAGATTATACAAATCTAAATTCTAAATCAATGTCAAGAAATAAATAAAATCAAATAGATTGTACTGTAAAAATAAATAATGACCTGATTACTGTTATTTACTTTCTGTTAAAACAACCTAATGTCCATTTCCACAAATATTAGTCTGAACGATCCTCTGGTATATGAGGTTGTCTAAAACCTCTCTGAACACACGATGGCGGTAGAATTACTTCAAAGAAGACATGCTGTGCCCGTGAAAAATGTCAGCAACACTTCTATAGTTTTGCTGTTTCAGTGCTACTGTGAGTGAAAATGTGTCCTCTCACACCATGACAATGTTCGGTGCTAGATCACACGGTGATGTGGACTTTTAGCCGCGTCTGCACACGACTTCATTCTCTTTAAACACCACCACATTTACACAACTTAACATCTGCTCATCATGAGTGGATTTCGGGGTCTTTGAAATGTAATTTTCTGAATTTAACTGACTAAAAATGATAATATTATCATTGATGTTACTTTTTATTAAAGTCTAGGCCATCAGCTGTAGCTGTTAGCAACACCAACAAAGCTGAACAAGCAAACAAATTAGTGTTTTCTCCTGTCGCATGAATCCATCCCAAATGACAGTCTGGAGCCACGCTCGCAGCCACTATTACATCACCTCCACTGTTCTGCACCACTGTACAGAGTGCTTTTCTATGAATAATACAGAGAGACCAGGGAGAGAGGGACATGGACATGGGGCTTGGTTACTAAATGAAAGAGGGAGTACTTAAGGTTAGAAAAGGGTGATAGAGACTAAAGAATTGAATTGGAGGGATATTCTGGAGAGAAACATGAGAATATGAGTTATATGTGTAATGATAGTAAATAACCACATCAGACACTAATGCATGGATACTGATTTAACTTTATTGAATGAATGAATGAATCTTTTTGCGAGCGTCAGCATGAGAACATAAAACACATTCCTACATATACTGTATATCAACTGTGTGTTAACATTACATGAATTACAGATACGGGGCACAGTGTCAGAGAGTTGTTACAGATGGGTGCAATGAGAAATGGCAGCGGCATGGCCAGTCCCAGACTGTCTGAAGGAAGACAAGGTTATAGACTGTGTTTTCCCATGAGGGAGCAGGCTGCTTTAGTATAGAAAGAAAATAACATATTGCACTCTGAGATCAGCAGACAGGTCCTCTGTCATAGCATACGTGCGCACACGCAAACACACACACAGAGGCAGACAGGAAACCAGACATTCTCTCATGAAACTCAAACACAGATAATGAGACGTGCTCAGTCTGAAAGGTGAAAACAATCTTCCTTCTGCATTTGAAAATTGCTCATATCCTAACACGTTTGCAGCGCCACCAGAAAGAATTATTATACAAGATATTCTAAAAACTAGATAACAATTTTGCAATAATCTTTTTACCTTTTTCGTTTCCCCTTGTTCTCCCTCTCTTTGTAACTTGTTCATTCTTGCCAGCACAGACACACAGTTAACACAGAGTTAACTGGGCTCAGTGTATAATTAGACAAACAAAAAAGAGAGGGATGAAACATCTAAAGGAGAAGACTCCAAATGATTACACATTCACTCCGCTTCCTTCCCCCTTGCTGCACACATAACCACCAATTAGAGGAGAAAAGAGGAGGATGAGGACAAGCAAGCAGCCAGAAGTCTATTTGTGTCTCTGTCTCTCTCTCTCTCTCTCTTCCCCCTGAAGACTCCCAGCGCCAGGGAGGGAGGAAGAGAGAAGAAAATAGAAGTGAAAAACAAGAAGTATATAAATAAAGAAATCAGAGTGTTTCACATCCGGTCGGCTGATTGGCTGAGACACGAGTCAGGCAGATCTGGGCCACAGTTGCACTCATTGTTCAGTGAGCTTTTCTACACAGTCCAACCCAGCGACAGCAATGAATGTTGATTGTGACCTTTGGTCTTTGGGTACAGTGGAAACAGAGTGTCACTTTTGTGCATGTGTGTCTTCGTCTCTGAGATTTGCATGCGCCCACTTGCCCTTTTGTTCATTTTTCGCTCGTTCCTGACGTCGTCAGAGCAAGCCGCGGGGCACAGTCAACGGTCGATGGTTTTTATGTGATCCATACCAAACTCACCGACAGCGTTGAATGTTCACCGAGGCAAGCGGGACAGCGGCTGTGAGCGGGAGCCGAGTTGACAGACAAGGCAGCAGGGGAGGGGGGAGGGGAAGCGTGGAGGAGGGAGGACAGAAAAGCGGGGGACAGGGACAGAGCAGAGGACATCGCTCAAACCACGGAGGTCAGGTCGCACGGCAGAGGGACATAATGACGCAGGACAGTGGCAGAATGAGTCCACTGTCCACAGGGCAAAGATGGTTCTGATTACGTTACACATGATCATGTGGTGCGTTTAAGTTGGAACATAAACTGAGAGGATCTGCTTTATTGCATTACCACCATCTCATTAATCAGAGGAACTCAAAGGCTTTCATCTCCAGTTCAAAATAGGCCGTAACAGCATCTGAAACACAGATGAAGAAGAAGTTGTTAGCACTGATATTGCACAGTATTTTGTCTTTAAAGGACCAGTTCACCTAAAATTACAAATACAAATGTCCTCACTTTCCTTTTGAAGTATCTAAGTTGTCTTTTCCATAAGCAATGTCACTGCTTTTTTAAATTCTCCACAACCACCTTGATAGGGACTTCACTTTGTTTGGGATCCAAACACCACCATTATTTTGGGTTAATGAAGACAAACGAAACCAAAAATACACTAGAATTAAGTAGTAAAATGTTGTAATTTGGGTGAACCAACACTTCAGTCAGATGGGAAGAAGTTTTACCAGAAATCGATAATATAAACGTTTCACATAAATCGCGAAAAACCTTCGCTCTGTGGTTTGACAATGCTCAGAACAATATTAGAGGACTATATTCAGACCTTCCACGGTTCTTATGGACATCTAGTCCAGGGAACAATGCTGTGATGTCCTACTGTGCAGCAAAGCTTTTTATACCCCAGCATTCGCCCAGTCACAGGCTGAGAGCTCCTATTGTCAGAAGCAGGCCATAGCCGGGGAACAACTGCCGGCAGTGTCACTGCGCTGCTGCACCGACCAGGGCCTGACGTCTGGACGGTAAATGCTAATCTATCGTCATTCATCGCCTCGTTTCATCGGCTTAGGGTGCTGATGTCATTGAGTAGGCTAGACCTGCATCCATTACTCTGCTGAGGGAGGCCGACGTC